GGAAAGAGAATTCTATTCAGAAGACATAGGTAACAAACCAACCCACATTTCTCTACTCTGTTCTAATAGCTTGATCTCTGAAGCCATGAGCAGTGCGAGTCATACACCTGCTCAGAAATCCAAGATTGTCCTCAAACCACATCACCATGGCATGGACCCAGAACTGGGAGGAAAGGCCAGGCTTGGTGCACTCTCCTGAGGTCCAAGAAGCATGGCAGGGAGCCTTTGGCCCTGCCCTGTTTCCAGGATAACCAGTGCTTTATGCTAGCAGAGACAGTACAAGTAGTCACGGTTCTCCCATCTGGTGTTGAGAACCAATCTAGCCGCAACCTAAGCTAGAGCATTAATGAAAAAGCCCAAGATGTCATGTCAGAAGGAACAAATGTGTTTTGTTCATGGAGACATCCTTTTATAGGAGCTTAAGAACTCTATCCCACTATACTTCTAACTCTGGGCCGACCTTTCCCCCATACCTGCTAAGCTGAGAGAGGGGACTGTTGGACAGGTCACCAGGCTGGGACAAGGAGGGCAAAGTGGCAGTGTGCTGGGATGCAGAGGGTGGAAGCGCAGGACACGAGGTGGTGCTGGGCAGGGAGCCCACCGATGGGAGGGCAGGAGGAGGGTCTGTTGTCTTTGGAGCTGGAACGGATGAAGTAGCTGTAAGAAACAGATCTGTTTAGCTCCAGAACAATCCTGAGTATCTGAAATACACTCAGTATTTTGTGACATGTCAGGCTCAATTGAGCTACATATAAGTTACATTCTCCAGGAAACACCCAAGCATGTCACCCGACAGCCCCTTCCATATCATGACTACCAAAATGATAAACAATTGTCAGACATGCAAGACCAAGACTAAGGGGAAACAACACCTTTATCATTATAAACTGTCCTATAATGTAGACACACTTTTCCCACCTAATGGAGCTTGATCCTTCACAGTACCCAGAAAGGAAGAGGTGCTGAGACTGATATGTGCAATTATAAGGTGATGCAACTTGTCCTCAAAAGGCATGGCAAGGGAAAGTGAAACCTGAGGGCAAGACCACCCCAAGAGTGTTCCTGGCAAACCAGTACCAAGTCAGGCAGCCATTGCCAAAGCTCGCAGCCTATCTAGGTCAGGGGCTGTTGAGAACCAAGACAGTATACACTGTAGAAAGATAGACATATGCCTAAAATATGTAAAAAGAAACACACCTGCTACCCAGCACCTACTCTGAATACACAGTGAGAACTGCCCAGGTATATGCTTGAACAGATGACTCTCAGAGAAATAAATGAGCTTATGAGGTTTCAGAAAGGACATGGATAAAATCAATCCCAGCTGTGAAAAGACTCAGTCTTCATGTTGTCCACACATACAACTCAGATATGTGCTTGGAAATAAAACATCACTGTCTTTTCCAGGTAGGGAGAAGAATGGACCTCTGTGGTGCTGTAGGCTACTGGAGAGCCTACTGCAACACACCCTAGTCTAAAAGGAAGGGATGGCTGAAAAGACACACAAGCAACAGGATCAACACAACTAGAGGCCTTTACATCCTAGTTTATTACAAATAGGAAACCTGATGTTAAAGAAACCAGGAAAATGCCACAGATATACCTTATCCAAAACTAAGCCACCAAAGATACCCCTCTGGGCCTTGGATTACATTGATCATGGGTTCACAAGCAAATCTCTCCAAGAATAAGAAAAGGAGATGGCTTGGGAATGAGTAAAGAAGAAAGTATAGAGGGAAAAAATACTAGTTTAAATGTATGCCATGTTTTTCAGATAGCTGATTTAAAATCTCCAAATAATCTGGGACTTTTATATGTATTCTTAACCCCATGCCTAGATAAAAGAAATCTGCCAACACTACTACTAGAGTGATAATTCCCTATTTCACTTAGTCAGCTCAGAACTTCCAACATTTGATCAAATAGCCCTGGTAACCCAGTGATACTATCAATACGAAAACCAACCCTGAGGCATTAAATCTGTCATTTCGATTTCTTTTCTTTTCTTTTCTTTTTTTAAGGGAGATTTTTGCTATAAGGCACATGTGTTCACCAGAGAGACAGAAAACAAGAAATCATCCCCAAGGGGGATGGCTCAATTTCAACTGAGGCTCACCTCTGGTCTGTTAAACTTCCATATCCATACTCCCCACACAATTGTAATGAAAAAGTTTCTCTAGTTTCCATACCCAACAGTGGATCTTCACTGGCATTACTGAATGTTGAAAGAAAACTGCTATAAATAATGGCAGGGAACCAGCAGATGGCATAATGGTAATGTAGCTGGACTCCCATGTAGTCAACTGCAGTTTGAGTCCCAGACCTGGCGGCTTGAAACTCATGCCAGGCACATGTGCATGCATGTTCAAAATCCCAAGAGGAAAATGGAAGAAAAGGGATTGCGGCATGGCCATCCCCCTGGGAGATGACTTCTTGCTTTCTGTCTCTGTCTCTCCAGCAAGCGCACCCCGTACCAAAAAAATCTCTTAAAAAAAAAAAAAATCACAGAAAAGCTAGCCAAGCATAAAGGAAAGCACAAATGGAGACCAGCAGATGGTGTAGCAGTTACATCACCAGACTCTGACATGGACAAATGCAGCTTAAGTCCCAGACCTGGTGGTTTGAAAATTGCACTGAAGGGGAACCAGCAGTTAGCGTAATGGCTATGTTGCTGGACTCCCACGTAGTTGACCGTGGTTCGCGTCCCGGACCCGGTGGCTTAAAACTCACGCCAGGTGCGTGTGCGTGCGTGCCCAAGATCCCGAGAGGAGAATGGAGGAGAAGGGATTGCGGCATGACCATCCCCCCTGGGGGGTGATTTCTCGCTTTCTGTCTCTATATCTCTCTCTCTCTGTCTGGCGAGCGCTCATGCCCTATAGTGAAAATCTCCCCCCCCCAAAAAAAAAGAGTAAAAATTGCGCTGAACATGTGTACATGCATGAACAAAATCCAGAGAAGGGACTGCGGCATGCCACCCCTCCTGAGGGGTGATTTCTGACTTGCTCTCTCACTGTTCCTGTCTCTCAGCAAGCGCACATGCCCTAAGGCAAAAACCTCTTAAAAAAAAAATAAAAAAGAAACTACAAATGATCACTAAGCTGATCTAAAGGAAGAGTAGAAGGAGAATCCCCTCAGTTTCTGTCAAGCATCCACAGTGAAAATTTCCTCAAGCTTCCTAAGCAACAGTCCTCAGGTCCTAAAGGCCATAGGCATATCTTTCCTAAACTAGTACAGCAATTTTTGATTTAAAGACCCTTCATATTATTGGTGTCACAGCCTTCTGATCAACCTGAGATCAGTGTCTATTGAGCAAAACATCTTGTAAATGCATTAAATATACTACACTTGGAGTACAGTCTGATTAGAGTAGAAGGCAACAACTATCCATGCTTCTTGATGTGGCTGTGAGGTTTCTAGTAACCTTAGTTATCACTGGTAACATGGGAATCTCTACCTAACCTTTTTAACCACAGAACTGGAGTTGCTTTCTTTTAACCAATGAACCTGGCTCCGTCTGTTCCAATTAAGTATCAGAAGCAGTTATCAGAAAAAATGCAGAAAGACTGTTTTTGGAGAAAGTTATTGTGCGACGTGTTTCCCCCATCACATTAGCAATGCTCTTTCTCCACTTGGTTCCCATCACCTGTGACAAGAATAGGTAGCTGATATACTTACTGTCCAGTGTTTGCTGACTTCGATCACCACTATGTCCATTCTATAAGAAACAGAAGAGAAAGTAAACTCACAAAAACATCAAATGATTAACTAGATGATTTTCTAATGAGATTCACAAACACAGGAAATACATATTATTCAAAAACAACAGTGTGGAGGGCAAGCAGGTGGTGTGGTGGTTGGGGGCACTGGACTCCCACATGGCTGATCGTGGTTCAAGTCCCGGATCTGGTGGCTTCTTTCTCACTTTCCCTCTCTGTCTCTCCCTCTGATCAACCTGGAAAATAATACCAACAATGCAATAATAATAATAATAAAAAAGTGTGTTTGTTTTTTTTTAAGAGGTTTTTGCTATAGGGCACGTGTGCTCGCTAGACAGAGAGACAGAAAGTGAGAAATCAACCCCCAGGGGGGATAGTCACACCGCAATCCCTTCTCCTCCATTCTCCTCTAGGGATCTTGGGCACGCACGCACACGCGCCCGGCGTGAGTTTTAAGCCACCGGATTTGGGACGTGAACCGTGGTCAACTACGTGGGAGTCCAGCGACATAGCCATTACGCTAACTGCTGGTCCTAAAAAGTGTGTTCTTTTTTTCCTATTTTTTAGTAGAAAAAAGTAGTAATACAATTAATTCCAAAGAGCTCACGTTTTTAAAAACCAGATTCAGTGTTTAGAGAAGTAACAAGGACATGAAGTAGGACCCAGATCACAGGAAGCAATGAAACAGTCCTACAATAATTATCAAAAAGTCAAACTATACAAAGAACATAAAGTCCCATTATATTTACATCACCAAAGACCTTCCTGTCTCATGCAAGTTCTATCTCCTGAGCACCACTTGTGGAAGACAGACAATATTTCCGATTACTAAACAAGGGGAATGTGGCATGAAACACCCAATAAAAGGGTTTATAAGGTTCAGACCCACTCTGTCCAGATGAGAGGAGGAGCATGAAAAAAACCTAAAACAGATTCCTTCTTACATATCAAAACTACTAAAGAGTTACAAGGTAGCTATTACTTAAACCTAGTACTAACTTCAACCTAGTACAAATATTACAATTTGTTTACAATACTCCTTCTACTACTAACAACTTAAAATATTAAATCAAAATTAAAATAATTTACAAGAATTAGAGGCAGTAAAACAAACATACGAGGTAAAAATTGTGAGTTAAAATAAAAGTTACAGTGAGGGGAGCGGAAATACGACATATATCTCACTGAATATATGACAGTGGGTTAAGAGTAACCGAGATTAATTCCCACTAAATACATTTACAGGCTGCCATCAACTATGTGCATCCAAAACAGCAAGAACCCTGACATATCAAAGGCGTCTTCTCAAGACTGCATAAGACCAAAAGCATAGAAAAAGGAACCAGAAACAGTAGTCATCAGACCTGAGAATTATTTCATTCTACCTTGAAAAGCAGTTTCTTTGAGAGAGATTTCTCTTTTCTTTCTTTCTTTCTTTCTTTCTTTCTTTCTTTCTTTCTTTCTTTCTTCCTCTCTCTCTCTCTCTTTCTTTAATACTTTTTCCTTTCTTTAAATCTTTTTCTTTTTTTTTTTTTTTTGCTATAGTGTGCATATGCTGGCCGGAGAGACAGAGACAGAAGGCTAGAAATCACCCCTCAAAGGCAATGGGTACGTTGCAATCCCTTTTCCTCCATTCTCCTCTCGGGATCTTGGTCATGCACATTCATCCACCTGGCGTGAGCTTTAGGTTGCCAGGTCTGGAACTTGAACCACAGTAGACTATGTGGGAATCTAGCAACATAACCATTACACCATCTGCTGGTCCCAGAAAGCATTTTTAAAACACAAATGAGGGAACCAGCAGTTAGTGTAATGGCTATGTCGCTGGACTCCCACGTAGTCGACCGTGGTTCGCGTCCCGGACCCGGTGGCTTAAAACTCACACCGGGCGTGTGTGCGTGCATGCCCAAGATCCCGAGAGGAGAATGGAGGAGAAGGGATTGCGGCGTGACCATCCCCCCTGGGGGGTGATTTCTCGCTTTCTGTCTCTCTGTCTCTCTCTGTCTGTCTGGCAAGCGCACGCGCCCTATAGTGAAAAAACCTCTCCAAAAAAAAAAAAAAAAAAAAAAAAAACCACAAATGATAACACAATACAAAGACCTTATCATTTGGGGTGAGGGCAATTCTAGGCAGAAGAATGCAATGAGCAAAACCAAAGTAGTATCAAAGCTTACAGGAGCAAAGGAGTACCAAAGTTTAAAGGCACCAGCAGGTGGCATAGTAGTTACATTGCTGGACTACCAGGGGACGACTATGGTTAAGAGTCCCAGACCTAGAGGCTTGAAAAACATGCTGGGGTGCATATGAGTACATGCCCAAGATCCCAGGAGGAGAATGAACTGTGGCATGGCCATCCCCTGGGAGTCGATTTCTCACTTTCCCTCTCACTGTCTCTCTCTCTCTCTGCCAACTGCATGTGCCCTATGACGAAAACCTCAAAACACCACCAACAAAAAATGCTTCAAGAGAGATCACTCTGGCTAGGCAAGGAATGAAGTGAGCAGTGATACATGCAAGGAGAGTGAGAGGTCAGGTTAGAACTGAAAGTGAGGGACCAGCAGTTAGCATAATGGCTATGTCACTGGACTCCCATGTAGTTGACCACAGTTCGAGACCCAGACCTGGTGGCTTAAAACTCACACCGGGTGCGTGTGCATACGTGCCCAAGATCCTGAGAGGAGAATGGAGGAGAAGGGATTGCGGCATGACCATCCCCCCGGGGGGTGATTTCTAGCTTTCTGTCTCTATGTCTCTCTCTCTCTGTCTGGCGAGCGCACGTGCCCTATAGCGAAAATCTCTCAAAAAAAAAAAAAAAAAAGATGACATGATCAAGAACACATGGCTTGGAACTAGCAGACGGTATAATGGTTATGCTGCTAGATTCTCACATGGCTGACTGTGGTTCAAGTCCCAGACCTGGAGGCTTGAAACTCATACCAGGCGCTTGTGTTTTGATGCCCAAAATCCCAAGAGGAGAACGGAAGGGAAGGGATGGTAATGTGGTCAAATCCCTGCAGGGGTCATTTCTCACTTTCTGTCTGTCAAGTGCACATGCTCTAAACCAATCAACTGCCTTTTTATTTTTTTAGTGCGAGTGTGCTCACCAAAGAAACAAAGTGCAAGCACTCCCCATGGCAGATGGTCATGCCTTTTCCACTATTTCTCCTTTTGGGATTTCTGGGCATGCACACGGATGCACCTGGCATGTTTTTCAAGCTGCCAGGTCTAGGACTTGAACTGCAGAGTGGGCCATATGGGATCCAATAGCCTCAATCACTATGCCACTGGCTGGCCCCTTCATTTGCTATTTTTCTGTGGCATTTCAAATTAGGTTTGTAGTCATTAGTACATTTCAGCATTCATATCATTAACTAGAGCCCAGTTTTTGCTTACCTTTTTTTTTTTGGAGAGGTTTTAGCTATAGAGCGTGCGTGCACTTGCCAGAAAGACAGAAAGTGAGAAATCACCCCCCAGGGGGGATGGCCACACTGCAATCCCTTCTCCTCCATTCTCCTCTCAAGATCTTGGGCATGCAAGCACATGCGCCCGGCCTGAGTTTAAGCCACTGGTTCCGGGACTCGAACCACGGTCGACTACATGCGAGTTCAGCGACATAGCCACTACGCTAACTGCTGATCCCCTTACCACAGTTTTTTAAAGGTAAAATTTATATGTAAAGAGCACCATGAAATATGTAAAGAATACCATTCAGTGAGTTTTCAGAAATGATTACTCAGAGGGACCAGCAGTTGGTGTAGGGGCTATGTTGCTGGACTCCCATGTAGTCTACCGCAGTTCGAGTCCTGGACCTGGCAGCTTAAACTCACGCCAGGCTTGTGTGCATGCGTGCCCAAGATCCCAAGAGGAGAATGGAGAAGGGGTTGCGGCATGGCCATTCCCCCTGGGGGGTGATTTCTTGCTTTCTGTCTGTCTTTCTGGCAAGTGCAGGAGCCCTATATCAAAAACCTCTCCAAAAAAGAGAAAAAAGAAAAAAGAAAAATAAATGGTTATTCATGTAACCCATGTTCCTATCAAGTTATAGAACATACCATCACATGAGAAAAATTCCTTGATGCATATACCACTTTTAATCTCACATGAAATGCAGACATATGAGCTTAGTAGAGAGAGATACTACTCACCCCTCCCCCGATGTATCCTTGCTTGGAGTGGGCAGGAGAGGACTAATGTTGTATTTGTAATATACGTTTCCTTCTAAGATTCTCCGGAGACATTTGCGTATCTTAAGATAAAGTCTATGAATGGCAACAAAAATCAAGTATCTAGCTAGCAAGCCTCTAAGAAGGGCAAGACTTCAAACCTGATAAAAAGATCTGGTTTCTTTCTTCTATTTTAAATTTGCCAGAAGGCACATGCATTTGCTGGAGAGAGAGAAGGAAAGTGAGAATGCAGCCCTCATCGGGGGTGGTGACGTTGCAATCTTTCTCCTCCATCTCTCCTTTGTTTTCAGGATATTGGGCACATGCACACACACACAAATGTCCAGCGTGTTTTTCAAACCACTGACTCCAGGACTTGAATCGTGCAGTCAGCCACGTGGGCTATAGCTGCCTTAACCACCATGCCACAGGCTAGTCCTATCTGTTTTTTTTTGTTTTTTTTTTTTTAATTTTTTATCTACAGTTCAGTATTAACAAAAGCTAGGCACAGAATGCACAATTTTAATATATCAAAGCTAATGGTGATCCAGAACTACATGCACTGGAAGAAAGCAGTAAAAAAAGGAGACTGCCTGAAATATTCAGAGAGGCAGGCAAGGTGAGCCATTTAGGAAATACCATAACCAAAATGCTTATACAACAGGGAGGCCCAGTTTTCTCCACAACATCTATGTGGCTATGGGCCCATTTATGCTCAAGTGCAGAGGTGCCCATTATAGCCAAACTCAAGGAGTATACGCAAAGGGTTAGTGAACTGCTACAATAAACTCATACAACAGGCTTCATTTACCAAAACACACATGAACTTCCAAACAGGATATCTCACAATGCCTTTATTATTTTTTCATTTTTAAATATTTTCTTTTAAGAGATAGGCTAATTATTTACTTATTTTTAATTTGCTGCAGGGCACATGTGCTCACTGACAGAAAAAAAGAGAAAGCAAGAAAGCATCCCCTATAAGGAATGGTCACACAGCAATCCCTTCTCCTCAATTCTCCTTTTGGGATTGTGAGCATGCACGCAAACATGTCTGAAATGTTTTTCTTTTCTCTTTTTTTAGAGTTTTGTTTTTTGCCTTAAGGTGCATAGGTGTGCCAGAGAAAGAAAGAGACAGTGAGAAAGAAAGTGAGAAATCACCCCCAGGGGGAAGACCATGCTGCAATCTCTTCTCCATTCTCCTCCTGGGATCTTAGGCACACATGAACACGTGCCTGGCCTTAGTTTCAAGCCACTGGGTGCAGGACTCAAACCATGGTCAGCCATGTTGAGTCTAGCAACATAACCACTGAGCCATCTGTTGGCCCTCTGACATATTTTTCAAGTTCCCGGATCTGGGACTTGAACTACATAGTTGGCCATGTGGGATTCAGCCTTCTTATCCACCATGCCCCAGCTGGTCCCAAAGGAGGTATCTTAAAACACTTGAAACATCCCTTACCGTGACAGTTCCTGGAGCTGACTTGGATGGACTCACAGAGCTTTGGTATGAGATCCTGTTATGCACAGAACTCTGGTCATAGGAGGAAGACGTTGTTACTGGACTAGTGGAACTCAGGGATGAGCTGGTCAGACTGGAGGAGGTAACCACTGAAGTTGTATGGGTGGAGTTCTGTACTGCACTGGTCATTGACAAAGGGGTATTCAAAGGATCACTGAAAATAATGAGAGGTATAAGACATAAATTTGTCACTACACAGCTTCATGAAAATTTATTAAATATTCAAGATAAAGAATTCTTCCTCCTCCCCCAAATGAGACCCACCTAATTTCTACTATTTTTTGGGGGGAAGGGCATGACTTCGAACCTGACAAAAAGATCTGGTTTCTTTCTTCTTCTATTTTAAATTTGCCAGAAGGCACACGCATTTGCTGGAGAGAGAGAAGGAAAGTGAGAATGGAGCCCCCATCGGGGGTGGCCATGTCGCAATCTTTCTCCTCCATCTCTCCTTTGTTTTCAGGATATTGGGCACATGCACACACACACAAATGTCCAGCATGGTTTTCAAACCACGGACTCCAGGACTTGAATCGTGCAGTCGGCCACGTGGGCTATAGCTGCCTTACCCACCATGCTATAGGGGACGTGCACTCGCCAGAAAGAGAGACAGAAAGCGAGAAATCACTCCCCAGGGGGGATGGCCACGCCGCAATCCATTCTCTTCCATTCTCCTTTCGGGATCTTGGGCACGCACACACACATATTCAGCATGAGTTTAAGCCACCGGGTGCAGGACTCCAACCATATTTGACTACATGGGAGTCCAACGACATAGCCATTACACCAACTGCTGGTCCCAAAAGACCCAGACATCTCAGAGAATTCTCAAGATTTTTAAAGGAATCTAGGTTTCTGAGACCATTTTTTTTTTCCCCTCTTTTTGGAGAGGTTTTTTGCTATAGGGTGCGTGTGCTTGCCAGTAAGACAGAGAGACAGAGAGACAGAAAGCGAGAAATCACCCCCAGGGGGGATGGCCATGCCACAATCCCTTCTCCTCCATTCTCCTCTTGGGATCTTGGGCAAGCACGCACACATATCCAGCATGAGTTTAAGCCACTGGGTCCAGGACTCCAACTGTGTTCGACTACATGGGAGTCCAGCGACATAGCTATTACGCTAACTGCTGGTCCCAAAAGACCCAGACATCTCAGAGAATTCTCAAGATTTTTAAAGGAATCTAGGTTTATGAGACCATTCTTTTTTCTCTTTTTGGAGAGGTTTTTTTGTTATAAGGTGCGTAAGCTCGCCAGTAAGACAGAGAGAGACAGAGAGACAGAAAGCGAGAAATCACCCCCAGGGGGGATGGCCATGCCACAATCCCTTCTCCTCCACTCTCCTCTCGGGATCTTAGGCATGCATGCACACACACCTGGCATGAATTTAACCCGCCAAGTCTGGGACTTGAACCACAGTCGACTACATGAGAGTCCAGCGACATAGCCATTACACTAACTGCTGGTCCCACTGAGACCATTTTTTACAAGAGAACTCAAATATCAAGTTTTGCTTTTGGAAAATGCAAAAACTATTAAAATCTCAAATCACAAAATTTTTTGGCCCAGCCACTATAGCCCAGTAGTAATGCTAGCACCCTACGGTGGATCAGATCCTAGGATAGCAAGAAAATACAGGCTGGGAAAGCCTGAGGGTGCCGGGATTCTGAGGAGGTAGAGGTGGAGAAAGAGGGGTCACAGAGTGACACAACCCTATTAAAGGTGCTTCCTCTCACATACTTCCTGTGAAGGAAAGGAATGGAGTGGGAAGTAGAGAGAAGAGAAAGGAAGGGAAAGGAATGGAATGGAAGGGAAGATAAGAAAGCATAAAGAAGTAAAAAAGAGAGAGAGAGAGAGAGAGAGAGAGAGAGAGGGAGGGAGGGAGGGAGGAAGGAAAAACATCTAGGATTTTCTATTTAAAAATATTCCACTCAGGAGCCTGTCACTGGAATGGTGGTTAAAGCTGCTGGATCCCACATGGCTGACTGCACTGAGTACTGGACCGGAGGCTTGAAAAACAGGTTAAGAGGCCAGCGGGCAGGGTGGTGGCTAAGGTGCTAGACTCCCACATGGCCAACCTCAGTTCAAATCACGGGCCAGGTGACTTGAAAATCACACCAAGCACATATGTGTGCGTGCCCAAGATCTCAGGAGGAGAATAGAGAAGGAAGATTGCAACATGGCCATCCCCCTTGGGGACTGATTTCTCATGTTCCCTCTTACTGTCTTTCTCAGGCAAGTGCACACCATATGGCATGCTCAAAATCCTAAAAGGAACTGAATGAGAAGAGGATTGTGGTGTAGCCATCCCTCCTGGGGGGTGATTTCTTGCTTTCTATCTCTGTCTCTCTCTGTATCTCAAGTGAGCACAAGTACCCTATAGCAAAAGTATCTCTCACTCTCAAAAAAAAAAAAAAATATATATATATATATAAGTGAAAAAGATAGATAAAATTAAATAATTCTTTCAAAAAAAAAGGGGAAAAATATGTTGGGCACGTGTGTGTGTACACCCAAAATCTAGAGAAGAGAATGGAGATGGGACTGCACCATGGCCATGACCCCACCCCCAGGGAGGAGGGTAAGTTCTCACTCCCACTCACAATCTATTGCTCTCCAGTAAGCGAACATCCTATAGCTAAAACTACAAAACAAAACAAAACAAAAAAGACTGAAAAAATTACTCTTGCAAAGATTTGGAGAAACTGGATCCATTGCAGATTATTGGGAGAAATCTAAAATGCTGGGGCCAGCCTCACAGTGTAGTAGTTAAGTAGTTAACACTGCATGGCCAAGCATGATTCTAACCCCAGCCCTGGTGGCTTGAAAAACATGCCATGAATGGGTATATACATGCCTCATATTGCTATAGGATGGAGAAATTGCAGAACAGGGACTGTAACACATGACCATGCCAAGCCTTTTCCCTCTTTCTTGCTAAGTCTCTTTCTGAGGCAGGTATACTGCCCTCTGGCAGTTATAGAAGAAAGAGAGAGAAGAAAGGCAAGGCAAGGCAAAAAAAAAAAAAAAAAAAAGGAAAAGAACAGGAAAGAAAAGGAGGAGAATAAGAGGAAAAGGGAAGGAAGAAAGAAAAGAGAGAAAGGAAAGAAAGAAGAAAATAAAAAATGCTGTAGCAACTGTAGAAAATGTTTAGTAGTTCTTCAAATGATTATGTTTAAGTACGTTATGACTCAGCAGTTCCACTCCTAGAAAGAACTGAAAGTACACAAAATGTATAACTGAATGTCCACAGCAGCATGATTCACTATGCCCAAAAAGAGGAAATAACCCAAATACCCATCAATGAATGAATGGATAAACAAAATGTGGTATAACTACATCATGAGATACTCAGCAATAAAAAGGATGTATGTACAGTATGAATAAATCTTGAAAATCGTATTCTAAGTGAAAGTAGTCAAACAAAAAGGTCCATTTACTATGTGGTTCTAGTAATCTGAAATATCCAGAACAAGTAAATCCAGAGACAGATTATTGGCTGCCAAGAGACAGGAGGGGAGGAGTGGAAGTTTCTTATACAGGTTTCCTCTGGTGTTGATGGAAGACATCTGGAATTACACATTAGTAAGAGCACATTCAATTACCACAGGATGTACTGTCTCCACTAGGTGTTTTTTCAGGCTGTTTTTTGCTTTAGAAACAAAAAACTAAATTCATTCCAAACCAGAGAATAAGGAAGTTGTGTACCTTAAAGACTTCGAATACAAGCTGATGGGAATTTGATTACTATTTTCACTGTTTGGAGTTGATCCAAATTCAGACAGAGAGGATTCTGATCCAAATTCCAGGGCTCCAAACTGAACATTTAATCCTGTGACATCGGCTGAACCAGGCATTTCCACTGCAGATGCTGGAATCTGAAAGAGTAGAGCCGTCATGTCAGGAACAGAGGTCAGGGACTCTTAAGTCACAAAGGCCTAACGCAGTGCCAAGCAAGCAACTGGGTTTCCCAGACAATACTGACAGGAAGAGTGACAGAGAGAGGAAGGAAAAGGGAATAGGACTTATGAAAACAGTAAAGAGAAAACAGAAATAAAAATTAAAAGTTTATAGGGAAATGGTGAATATTAATGCCACCAAGCTTCACAGAGCAATGGGGTGAGCTGTGGAGGTGGGTAGTTGTGGTGGTAATCAGGTGAGGGACAAGAGTGCACAATGAGTTGTCACCTCCATTTTCTTTTTTGTTTTTTTTTTTTTAAAGAATTATTTATTTTGTGGGACCAGCAGTTAGCGTAATGGCTATGTCACTGGACTCCCATGTAGCCGACCGCGGTTCAAGTCCCGGACCTGGTGGCTTAAAACTCATGCTGGGTGCGTGTGCATGCATGCCCAAGATCCCGAGAGGAGAATGGAGGAGAAGGGATTGCAGCGTGGCCATCCCCCCGGGGGGTAAATTCTCACTTTCTGTCTGGGGCGGGCACTCGCCCGTTAAAAAAAAAAAAAAAAAAAAAAAAAAAAAAAAAAAACCTCTCAAAAAAAAAAAAGAAAGAAAGAAAAGAATTATTTATTTTGCTTATTTATCATTATTATTATTTCACATGAGTTTTTGCCAGAGAAAGACAGGCATAGAGAGAGAGAGGGTGAGGGTGAGGGAGCAAGCTGGCAGGTCCAGGATTCAAATCGTGGTCAGCCATGTGGGAATTCCAGTGCCTTAACCACCATGCCACCTGCTGGCCCCTCAACTCTATTTTCAAAGATATACCAATGATGAAAGTATTACCTGGTCAAGGAATCATGTGTTCTCTAATTACGGGAAAACAGTTTAAACTATACAAGAACAGATTCTCTGACCGAGATCTTTAAGTCTGTACTAGAATTAAAGGTCTCTGGCTCTCAGCACAAACCCACTCCCTCTAATATAAATCCAGTCCCTCAGAAATAGGCAAATCTTTGGGACCAACAGATGTCGTAATGGTTACGTCACTGAACTCCACGTAGTCAATTGAGGTTTGAGTCCTGGACCCGGAGGCTTAAACACACACCAGGTGCATGTGTGTACGCACGCGTCCAAAATCCCAAAAGGAGAATGGAGGAGGGGGGAATGTGGTGAGGCCATCTTCCCTGTGGGGTGTCTTCATGCTTTCTGCCTTTGTCTTTCTCTGTCTCTACAGCAAGTGCACATGCCATATAGCAAAAAACTCTCTAAAAAAATTTTTTTTAAATGGACAAATCTTCATAAAGAGTAAACTATGTGACTGAAAAATACTGCATCGGGGCCAGCAGATAGCGTGGTGGTTGAGGTGCTGGACTCCCATATGGCTAACTGCAGTTTGAGTCCCAGACCTGGTGGCTTGCTTTTTCACTTTCCCTCTTTCTCTATCTCTCTCTAGTGCCCTACCGCAAATTTTAAAATAAAAATAATAAAATTAAATAAATTTTTTTTAATCCTAAAAACAGTTAAATAAAAATAAATATTGCAACAGTTTCTGAGACTTAATAGTCCACTACTTGAGCTAGAAGTCAAAATGAATTCACCTTTGGGCCAGCCCATAGCTAAGTGGTTAAGTATTGTGCAGAGGAGGCCAGAACCCATATGGTTGGCCCAGGCTTCAAGTCCCAGAGCTGGTTGCTTACATGCCAGGTGCGCACACTTACATGCCCAAAACTCTTGACAGAATGGAGAACTGAAGGAAAAAGACTACAGTGATTACACACACTACAAGAGGTGCTTTCTCTTTCACAAATGTATCCTCTGGCAATAAAATAACCAAATACAATGAAATGACATAAAAACACCTTTTGGACTGTGACATCCTAATGGAAAACCCACCTTAGAAGCAGGAGGTATCCGCCGCTTAGGAAGTTTAATGTGTTTGGGCTGTGGTTGGTGGGCAGACACGGCAATATTTTCGACAGCCATGCTGGGCAGCTGCAAAAGTTTGTTCACAGTAGAGGTACTGTCTCCAGGCGCTGATTCTCGGAGTTTTGCCTGGGAAGGAAAGGACTCCAAACCAGGAGGAGGAATAGTGACTGCTTGGGTCTGGTGCTGCTGTCGTTGGCTCAACTGGCTAAGAACTGGGGATGGCTCAGGCTGAGATTTAAAGTCTATGAAATATGTAAAGAATAAAAAAGTAAGCAACAGTCATGTAGGAATAGGACTTTGAACTTCTGCTTCCACCATCACTGATCCATGAAGGGTTCCATCATCTCAAGGTTCTCTGGATCACCTTCTATGTGTTTTCTTATATATAGATAAATATGTATACCATGTGGCATATGATAAATGGAAAAGAATGCCTGAATAGATTTAGTACCATATTTCCTAGGCAGAGAGAAAATACGGTTTATGCTAAAGTATATGGGGTTGGGAACTGGTAAGAAGGATACTGAATTACAACATAACACCTGGCTGTTAGTGAATAGAATTTTATTTGTATTGTCTTATTTATTTTCTACATAAGTTAAAAATTATTCTATTCAGTTCTTAATTTTTGACTAATATATATTTTGTTACAAAATTGAAAAGGTACAATAATGTGTAAGATGAATATAAATCTCCCTTTCACCCTAGTCCCTAGACTTGCTCTATCTACAGAGGCAAACGCTATGTCACACGTATATAAGCAGACACATATACACACACACCAACACATACAGATATACCTACATACACACACACATACACACTTACCCCTTACCTTCTCACTGTTATTTAATTTTCAAACCATTTAATTTATGAGTATTTCACATTAATATTAAAAAAAACCTACTTCATTTGGTTTTTAAGAGATATATTTATTTACTTATTCCAAGAGTAAGAAAGACAGAGAGACAGAACCCCATACCTTGACCTCCCCAAGCCTTCAGCCAGTCCCAGATTATGGGCAAGCACATGCTTCAGGTACTTAGGAAATTCTTTGAACTTGAACTGGGAACCTTGCCATGTGGGATTGCCTCACAAAACACATTTTAGGACTGTGCCCAGATATGATATGCTTTTTTAAAAGCAAATACTAGTATTATTAATAGACTTTTAGGTTTTCCAGTCTGTTGCTATGAAAAATAGTACAGTGAAAAATATATCTTTTTTTGGTAAAGAATTATTTATTTATTCATTCATGTATTGTAATTTGACCAGAGAGACACACAGAGTGAGTGGGAGAGTGAGAAAGCAAGCCACCAGGTCCAGGACTCGAACTGTGATAGGCCATGTGGGAGTGTCCAGCACCTTAACTACTATGTCACTTGCTGACCCGCATAATAAATATATTTCTATGGAAGATATTTTTATCAAATGTAATATATCTGCAGGATCAATTACTAAAATAAAGTTGCTGGTTCAAAGGGTAAATATATTTTAAATGTTAAACTCTACAAAATTGGTATCCATAAGATAAGAGTATAATAATATCAAACCTCTATCTTTTGATTGGTGGAAAATGGTACAATAAATGTAAACTAAAATTAGATAAATCATTTTACACTTCAGCATCATCCCATATGCTTCCTGTGGACTCTACCCATACCTCTCAAGATTTTTTTTTTTTTTTGAGTGGTTTTTGCTATAGGGCGTGTGTGCTCGCCAGAAAGACAGAGATAGAAAGTGAGAAATCACCCCCCAGGGGGGATGGCCACACCGCAATCCCTTCTCCTCCATCCTCCTCTAGGGATCTTGGGCATGTACGCACACACGCCTGGCGTGAGTTTAAGCCACCAGGTCCGGGACTCGAACCGCAGTCGGCTACATGGGAGTCCAGCAACATAGCCATTATGCTAACTGCTGATCCCAGGACATTTTTTAAAAAATCTGGTAGCTGGTTGCCATTATTTTTAATTACTCCTTTTATATTAAGGAAAATAAATCTTATATCTATAATATGATTTTCAATTGTTTTCGTACATTGTCTTTAAAAAAAAACAAAAATTATTGCCAGAGGGCACATGTGCTCACCAAAGAGAGAGGAAGAGGAAGAAAAAAAAGGTCCCAATGGGGCATGACCACACCACAATCCTGAGTCCTTCACTTCTCCATCCTGTTGGGATTTGGGGCATGCATGCACATATACCCAGCATTTCTTTCAGGTCTCTAGGGCAAGGACTCAAACAGGAGTCACACATGTGTGAACTGGGCTCCCTTAACCACTAGGCTACAGGGCCAGCTTCTTGTCTGCCTTTGATTTAGTAGTTATATTTTCTGTCATACCCAAAAAAAGGCTCCCCTCACACAGAATATGTAAAAATCTTTCCACTGTTGTTCTAATACTGTTCAATATTTGGTATTTACATTTAAATATTTACACCATTTTGGTACTTTGACGTAGGGATTCAACTTCAATTTCCAGCCAGATAGCCAACTGCAAAAAACATTTTTTCAAAACTGATTCAAAATGCCACTGCTATCATATAGGAAAGGGGTCACCAATCTTTTTCAGTAAAGGGCAGTTAATGCATATTTTAGCCTTTCAAGATCATCTGTCAGCAGTTACACTATTCTAATTTCATAGATAAAAAATAACCAGCCTTTGGCCAAGTTCCAATAAGACTTACTTTACAAAACACAGATGGCAGATATAATTTAGATTATTCTATTTTTTAATTTGATATTAGAGCATGTCCCAAAAAGTACATAGGGATAGCATGCCTGTATGCAATGCATACACACACACACATAACGTACACATACATACAGAGGAAGCCTATGACTGCTATTAGAATGGCTAAATGAATGCTGGCACTGGCCTAGCATCTGGTAACTTAAAATGTAAGTTTGTGCTAAGCAAAAGATGCTAACACACTAACTGATAAGAACAGCTAATTATACAATGTCTGTATAAACTCCACAGATGTTCAACATCTACTTACCTTTGGGGACTCAACAACCAGGTAGAGAGTGCCTATGTATACAGACACCAATAAAAACCTTGGAACTTAAGTCTCTAACAAGTTTCCCTAGTAGACGTCACTTTAAACCCAGGAGTAAAGTGAGGTATAATAGTTTCTGCTTATCTATGGGCAATACATCCCCAAACCCCCAGTGGGTACTTGAAACTGCAGGGTGGTACCAAACCCTCGATGTACTATGATTTGTCCTATATATACATACATGTGATCAAGTTTAACTTATAAATTAAGTGCTGTAGGATAACAATAATAACTATTAATAAGACAGAACAATTATCACACTATGCTATCATAAAAGGTAAGTGAATGTGGTCTCATCAAAATATCTTATTCTACTGTACTCACCTATTTTTTTTTTTAACAAGGTTGAGTTCTGGTAATCAAAATCACTCAAAATAAAACCATGGGTGACAAAGACCACTATACTGAAAAAAAGTAAGCCATTTCATTGATCACAACAATGTGTCTTTCGATCTGCCCTAAACATAAACCAGTCCGTGCAGCCAATTCTATGACTTAAGTAATCTCCTACTATGTTTAATCTAGTGTAGCATGTGTGCACTGGCAGGGAATGGTGGAATAATGCCACAATTTTGTGAGAGATTTAAACTACTACATTCAGCATAAAAATCATGCTTTTCAGTATAAACCACAAAAGGTAAAGCTTGACCAAAATGTGGTAGAAACATGCAAAGGTCAGAGAAAGCATCACAGAGGGTGTATTTTCAAATGTTCTCCACATTCCACCTTGTAACTGCTCTTCTTTTGTTTTTGAGAGATTTTTGCTATTGGGACATGTCTTTTTGTCAAGGAGACAGACAGAAAATGAAAAATTATCCACCAAGAGGGGATGGCTACACTGCAATTCCTTCTCCTCCATTCTCCTCTCAGAATTTTGGCCATGCATGCACATGGCATGAGTTTCAGGCTGTTGAGTCTGCTACTCAAACTGCTGTCAACCACATGGGAGTCCAGTACCCTAACCACTACACCACTACTAGCTCTGTAACTGCTCTTCTAACAGAGCTCAGAAAATCCCATATATGCATTTACCTTCACTAGCAATTTAATGTATGATTTTTAATAATTAAAAATATATATAAAAACTAAAAAAAGAAACCTTAGCCAATTGGACAACGAAGCTTGAAAAACAAAGAAGAATTTTTAAAAATACTAATAAAGCAAACGAAAAACAAAAACAACCCTCTGACTGAAAAGCAAAGCAAAATAAAATGTATATCGCTTGAGATTAAAAAAATAAAATAAAAAAGAAGTGTTGTATACTCATATTTGCCTGCTTCTATCAGCTTTGTATCAATATATTTCTTCAAGGCATATGCTTCTAACATATAATGATACAGTACATGCAGATATACAACACAAGTAAGACTGATTTAATTCAGAAATATGCAAGAGTGCCATTAAAAAGGAACATCTGAGGGCCAGAAGGATGTGTAGTGATTAAGGCCCCTGACTCCAACATGGCTGACTGCGGTTTGAGTCCCAGACCCAGTAGCTTGAAAAACATTCTAGACGTGTGTGCATGCATGCCAAAAATCCTGAGAGCAGAATGGTCACCCACCACCCCCCACCACCACCACTCCAGAGTGATTTCTCACCTTCCTCCTCTGTCTATCTACCTCTGGTGAGCACATGCGCCCTACTGCAATAATCTTAAAAAAAAAAAAAAAAAAAAAAAAGAAAGAAAGAAAGAAAAGAAAAAGATGGGGCCAGCGGGTGGTATGGTAGTTAAGGTGCTGGAACTCCCACATTGTCGACCACGGATGGAGTCCTGGACCTGGAGGCTGGCTTGCTTTCTCACTCTCCTTTTCTCTCTCTGTCTTTCTCTGGCAAAACTCATGTGAAAAAATAATATATAAATAAATCAAAATAATCCTTTTAAAAAAAGAATTCTTTTTAAAAAACTGTAAAAAGAAAAGAAACCTGTCTGCACAAGTTCCGCATTAGCATTTTCATCATAGCAACTCACTCGTGAATGTATACCATATACTCAATAGGTACAAATGAGCACAGAAAATGTCATCTTACCAAAATGACTGAGGACTGAAGGCTCGGATGTTGAGGGCTTGAGGTCCCAAGAAGTAGTAGTTGTTGGGGGACTCGTACTATTCTGCTGTGAACTTGAGGTACTGGTAAACTGACCCAAATTTGGAGTTTTCAACTGGTTCAAAATCTGGGAGTTGGTGATGTTTGCCATTTTTGATGGTGCAAGCTCTCCAAATCCTGAACCAAGGACGGATGACTTCAAAGAAAAGTAAGAGAATCCTCAGCAATACAGAATTTCTACCCCGGGCTTTAAAAATACACCAAACATTTTAAAAACTATAACCTAAAACATCTGAGTTAGTAAGACTCACCTTAGAAAATACTACTATGAAATAAGAACTGACTAAATAAATTTCAGCAATCTTTTCTGATTCAGAAGGGTTAAAGAAAAGAAACATATTAGCTACAAATTCAAAGAAACTGATTTTTCTTTTAGGGTGATACCATTGCTTATAATTAAATACCACTTTTTTTTTTTTTTAAACTAAAGAGGAATACTATGAAGTAAATGAAAAAGATATGCTTGACAAAAGCACATTACTTTCTTAATCTGTGAATCACAATAATGATCAGAATAGGTTTGGTCAGAGAACAGATCAGAGGTTATGACGCAAGAAGAAATATAGGTCTCAAAACTTACAGTTATTATCCCAAAATAAGACAGTGAAATATAAAGGTATGAGAGGCTGAACAAATACCCTGGGTACTGCTGTATTCATTTCTAGATGTTTAGATGACTAAGAACACCAGATATGCTCCATTAAAAAGTACACGCCCCCCCCAAAAATGTCATTCCTCCCTATCTGTCCTAAGGATGTCATACCTATATCAACATCTAAGGAGAACGAAAGCTGATGATGAGAAAATAGATCAACTCAATTTTTAATCTATAAAGATCACTCTGAAAGATAAGCTCATTTCATTGTCAAAAATAGCATTTCAAAGTTAGCAGGTGGCAGGGAGGTCAAGGCACTGGATCCTAGATGGCCAATTGTACAATTCGAGCCCCAGACTCTGTGGGGTGAAAATCATGTCAGGCGCCAAGTATGTGTGCCCAAAATACCGAAAGAAGATGGGAGAATAAGGACCTGCAGTATGGCCATTCCGGAGGGGGAAGGGTGATTTCTCATTTTCCCTCTCTCTTTCTGGTGAGCCCTATAGCAAAATATTAAAAAAAAAAAAAAAAAAAAAAAAAAAAAAAAAAAAAAAAAATTCAAATCCAACCAAGGCCAAAAACAGAAATACTCTGTATTTTCCACAAGAAGTTAGATCAATGAGCCAGCAGGTGGTATGATGGTTAAGGTGCTGGACTCACACTTGGCCAACTGCAGTCTGAGTCCCGGACCTGGTAGACCGCTTTCTCACTTTCCTTATCTCTCTGGTGAGCACATGTGCCCCATAGCAAACTTGAAAAAAGTATAATAAATAATAAATTAAATAAATACTTTAAAAAGAAGTTAGCTCAAGTAAGTAGAAACAAATATTACTTTTTAAAATTTTATTCATCATCATTATTTGTTTAATTTGACCAGAGAGAGACAGAGAGAAAGTGAGAAAGCAAGCTGCCAGGTCCAGAACTCGAACCACAGCTGGCCATGTGGGAGTCCACCCTCCTCAACCGCTATGACACCTACAGGCACGAAATATATATTTCTGTTGTCAACATTCAGAATAAAGGAGTGCCCTAATTATCATAATTCTCCATCGTGGGCCAAGTGTTATGCTGTGGCACTTCAAACATAGAATCTGCTCCTATGAAAGTAGATGTACTAACCTGACTCTCCACAGTTCCAGAGTCTTTGCCCACTGCCCACTATATCTCTCCTACTTTGCTAACAATCTGTGAAAACCTAGCTCAAAGCCCATAAGTTCAATGACGCTGTTTCTCCTCTTCATTGCTTTTCTCAGATATTCTCTAACATGCTTCGACTAGTTTCATCAAATGTATTTCAGTGCGCTTTATAACACAATGAAATCATGAGTCAATGCCAGTTGCCTTGCCATATATAAGATTTGGTATTTAAGACTCAACACCCCATTTATAAACATTGGAATCAAGCAAGGAGGGAGTTTTAAAATACATGCATTAATAAATATGTGTGCATGCATACACACATACACAAACATGTACAATGACCAAATCCCAAGCCAAATAAATGACTGATCCTCATTTCTGTCCTGTGTGACTCTGGCATTATGTTTTTAAAAGAACTATTTTATTTAACGTTGTTCGTTTATTCATTTAATTTACTTAAATTTGACTAAAGAGAGACAGAGCGAAAGTGAGAAAGCAAGCCGCCAGGTTCAGGACTTGAACCGTGGTTGGTCATGAAGGAGTCCAGTGCCCTTACTCACCATGTCACCTGCCGGCCCCTAGACTCTGGTATTATTAACATATTTTTAAGAGAGATGTTTGCTATAGGGCATGTGTGCTCGCTGAAGGAAGAGAGAGAAAGAGACAGAGAGCAGTCACACACACCCCGAGGAGGGATGACCATGCCACAATTCCTTCTTCAGTCTCTCTTGGGATTTGGGGCACACATGCACACAACCCTGGCATGAGTTTTAAGCCACCGGGTCTGGGTTCGAACCACAGTTGACTATGTGGAAGTCAACATAACCATGACTCTATCTGCTGATCCCTATTTTTATTATTATAATCATCATTGCTGTTTTTATTTATTAAGTTCGCTAATAATTATAAAGTGCTGTAGGATTGACAGCCACTTCTCTAATAATAGCAGTAAACAAACATTTCTGACTCCAGTTTCTCAAGTTGCTGGTCATGGCATAGGCAACACATGTGAAGGTCACCAGAAAAACGCAAGCCCTACCTATGATTTTGGTGGCCAGGCCATCGAATTCAGAAAATCAGCAAAGATGTTAGTTACATCATTATACTAGCAGCAGATGGAAAGGCAGAGGAAGAAAGACCTAGATAGGTCAGTCAAAAATTAGGGATTTTAGGGACCAGCAGTTAGCGTAATGGCTATGTCACTGGACTCCCACGTAGTTGACCGCAGTTCGCGTCCCAGACCCGGTGGCTTAAAACTCATGCAGGGCGCGTGTGCGTGCATGCCCAAAATCCCAAGAGGAGAATGGAAGAGAAGGGATTGCGGCGTGACCATCCTCCTTGGGGGGTGATTTCTCGCTTTCTGTCTCTATGTTTCTCTCTGTCTTTCTGGGGAGCGCATGCGCCCTATAGCGAAAACCTCTCCAAAAATAAAAATTAGGGATTTTATAAGGCCTTCTTAAAATAAGAGATGACACAACGTATTGGCCTGTCCCACTTCAAGCAGTGACAACATCTTCATATACAAATGAAACTACGAATGCCAAGTTTGAAAAGCCTGCAACATGGCTACACTACGCAGAGTAGTAAAAGACAGCAATGAAAAGCTTACATACTCAGTTCTCAATTTTGTCAGTGTACAATAAAGTATTTAAGTCACGAAGGAGACAAATTTCTGTTTCTCAACAACATATTTCAGATTAAACACACCAATGAGCAAATCAAAATAATTATCACTGTGAAAAGCTACAGATCTAAATCCACATCACTTATACCCATCCTCTTGCCAGTTCAGAACTTCCTACAGTTGGTACGTTTCCTATTGAAATGAACTGACGCACAGTACATTCATGACAAAATCTTCTTAGGGATTTCATTCACTGATCTGTAGCTACATTATTTATAACTTATGCTCTTAAGTTTCTTCTTTTCTTTTTTTGAAGAGGTTTTTTTTGCTATAGGGCGCGTGCGCTCGCCAGACAGACAGAGAGAGGCATAGAGACAGAAAGCGAGAAATCACCCCCCAGGGTGGATGGTCACGCCGCAATCCCTTCTCCTCCATTCTCCTCTCGGGATTTTGGGCACACACGCACACGCGCCCGGAGTGAGTTTTATAAGCCACTGGGTCCGGGACGCGAACCGCAGTCGACTTCGTGGGAGTCCAGTGACATAGCCATTATGCTAACTGCTGGTTCCCTCATCATCTGATCTTCACATCCTGCTCTGGTGTTCTTGCTGATGAGAGCGCTTACGAAAGGCCAACATCTCATAGGAAGCCAGAATCATACATGTGGCACTGGATCACACCGTTTCAATCAATGAACACATACCCAAACTATAAGAGCCTCTGTTACTCTGCTTGCATTTTATGCAAAAGTAGTCTTATTTTATGAAATAATACAGAAAATTTTTAAAAATTGAAGCACCTATGCAGATGTGGAAAGAACTTTTTTTTTTTTTTGCATGATTTTATGGCAAGGTAATACTGACAAATATTTGCATTAACTAAACTAGAAAACAAATGAAAAATTTAATATGCTAAGTATGGAGAAAGACTTCTTTTTTTTTTTTTTTTTAAGAGTGATAGGGTGCATTCCCTCGCCAGAGAGACAGAGAGAGTCAGGGAGACAGAAAGCAAGAAATCACACCCCCCCTGGGGTGGAGGGGTATGACCATACCACAATCCCTTCTCCTCCACTCAGGATTTTGGGCATGCACACACATACACCCAGGGTGAGCTTTAAGCCACTGGATCCGAGATTCGAACCATGGTCAACCACATGGGAGTCCAGCCACGTAACCATTGTGCCATGTGCTGGTCCCTGGAGAAACAAGGCTTTGAAACAAATTTTCAATCTGGGTGACCATTGATTAAAAATAATTTAACTTGGGAACCAGCAGTTAACGTAATGGCTATGTCGCTGAACTCCCACGTAGTTGACCGTGGTTCGTGTCCCGGACCCGGTGGATTAAAACTCACGTGCCCCAGATCCCGAGAGGAGAATGGAGGAGAAGGGATTGCGGTGTGACCATCCCCCCGGGGGGTGATTTCTCGCTTTCTCTCTCTATGTCTCTCTCTGTCTGTCTGGTGAGCGCACGCGCCCTATAGCGAAAAAAAAAAAAAAAAATAATAATAATAATAATAATAATTTAACTTAAAGAGAAATATTTTTGTCTTCATCCAGGAAACTCAGAGTGGTTAAATTCCACATGGAATTATCAGATATGTGCTTGGAAATTATCACATCATTGTTTTCTGGACTCAGAACTACTGTAGAATTTTTTTGTAATTAGAAAATGTTTGCAAAGTATAGGCTATATTGTAGAATACATCGGTTAAATGGTCCATTTCTTAATATCCCATATTGAAATAAAAGTGAGTTACCAGACTCTGAGAAGAATAGGAGTTGACAGCAGTGGAGCTGCCAGTCCCTGGTGCCATCTGATTGTTGTGCTGAGAATTTGTGAAGACAAGGGCTTGTCCAAAGCCCTGCTGTTGGGAAGTTTCAAAGGAGTTGGCTTCTGAGGCTTGCCTGGGAGGAACAGGCTTCTGGAGCAAGGCTACCAGATCAATGCTAAGCAGACAAAAAGCAAATGAAGCAGTCATAAACAAATTTACCAACAAATTAACTTGAGAAGTGAATCAATAAAAAGGACATTCATGACAAAAATCTTCTAAGTAAAGACAACCTTTGAAAAATGGGGTTTAAAAAGAGCCTAAAGTAGGCTACCAATAACTCACACACAAAAGCATACGAAGCCACAGAGTCTAAAGCCAGGCTTTGCAGAGAATAGAAAGAAAAAGTATTGAGAAATTTTCAAAGATAATAATGCTCGATTTAAAAACCTGTAGAACTAAGTGAGCAAATAGTTTTCTAAAACAGCTCAGCTCATTTCATTTACAATATTTACTCTGTTCACTAATTGGAATCAAAGTTTCTTAAAATTCTCCTAAAGGAGAGTGAATCCACACTCCTAGGGAATAAAAGATCTCAGTAATAGAAGGCCATTCAATAAGTTTCACACTTATCTTAAATTTGCATTTTACCTCACAATATATTTAAGTTTGCATACAAAAACACAGAATGCATCTCTAAATTTCTTTCTTAACTATTCAGGAATAAGTGCACAATATACAACTTTAAAGATTTTATTTATTTACTACTATTATTTATTTAAAATCTGCTATATAGCACATGCACTTACCAGAGAGAGATGAGAAAAGGGAAATTGAGAAAGCAAGTCTCCAGGTCTGGGACTCAAACCACGGTTGGACATGTGAGAGTTCAGCGCCCCCAAACACGATGCTGCCTGCTGGCCCCAATGTACAATATATTTTAAAACAATCTGCTGGGACCAGCAGATGGCATAATGATAACATCGCAGGACTCCCACACAGATGACGGTTCGAGTCCTAGACCTGGCAGTTTAAACTCACACTGGGCGAGTGTACATACGTGATCAAAATCCCAAGAGGAGAATGGAGGGGAGCAAATTGCGGCCATCCTCACAAAGGGTAATTTTTTGCTCTCTATTTTTCTGTCTCTCTCTGGTGAATGCACGTGTCCTGTAGCAAAAATCTCTCAAAAAAAAAAAAAAATTGGGAGGAAAGGCAGGCAGAATTGTGGCTTGAGATCCTACTGTGTGTGTGTGTGAAAGTGAAGAAAGAAATAAGTATTAAATAAAATTAATTAGGGGCAGCCAGTGATGTGGTGATTAAGATGACTATATCCCACATGGCCATCTGCAATGGTTTGAGTACCAAACCTAAGAGCTCGAAACATACCAGGTGCATGTATATGCATGATGTATGCCCAACTTCTCAAAAGGGGAATGAAGACCGGGATGGCGGTACGGCCATACCCCCTGGAGAGTAATTTCTCATCTCTTCCTCTCACTTTCTGTCTCTCTATGGCAAGCATGTGTGTCCTATAGCAAGTTTTAAACATTAAAAATTTCTAAACAATTAATAGAAAGAACCAGTAAGGGACCGACAGGTGGTATGGTAGTTAAAGCACTGGACTCTCACATGGCCAACAGAGGTTCAAGTCCTCAACCTGGTGGCTTGATTTCTCACTTTCCCTCGTTCTCTTCTGGTCAAATTTTTGAAAATATTAACAATAACAAATACAATCTATTTAAATAATTATTATTTATTTTTTAAGAGGTTTTTGCTATAGGGCGCGTGCGCTCGCCAGACAGACAGAGAGAGAGACAAAGAGACAGAAAGCGAGAAATCACTCTCCAGGGGGGATGGCCACGCCG